AAAAAAATTAAATCAAAGAACACCAATCATGTTATTATTATTACGAGGTGGTAGGAGTACTACTGCTACATTAGATCTGTATCCCAAGTTATTAAATCCAGTTTGGTTCCCACATCTTTTTGGGAACAGGACAGAAACTCCCCCAAAAGAAGCTGGTGGTGTCTTTGTGTCAAAATTTTCAACTGATCCAGGGCGAGCCGGCCGTGACCAGACAAGCAGCCATAAACAAATTGTTGGAGACAAAAAGAACCTGCTGCAGGGTTTAACTTTTTCCTTCTCCCCGGTTGCCACGTGGCAATCGCCCATAGCATTAGCACCTCTGACTTAAGTGTTAATTAATGTCTTAATTAATAAGAGTTTAAGACATAGTTAGGGGTGATTGAAGATTAGATTCCTATATGGATGCCTTGATTGCTTTCCGTGATTAGTTGAAATTAATTTGCACTTATAATAATGAGCATTTGCAGGTTTATTCTGCTTTTAACGCGGATATTGATACCATTTGCTTTTGGATTGGAACGAAGAGAATAAAAATTGATGTACGTCTCTTTGCTGCTGTTATCCACCTTGTTTACAATTGTAGAACAACCATTGTTTATATTTGGTCAAATTTGTATCAATAAGAATTTGGTTAAAGGTTTTTTCAATTTTAAGAGAGTATTTATTGTACTTTTTTATTATAAATATATATAAAAATATAAAAATTAATATTAATTTTTATATTTTTGATATCAATGTGCATTAATTACATTCTTAATTTAAACAATCCCTAAATATAAGGTAAAATGACGAGAAAACATCTTCATTTTTAATCTCTATATTTAGTGCATAAATACCAAATTTCCTTAAAACTTCTTAAACTTTCCTGAATAATATAGAAAAGAAAAACCTTTCCTCATACCGAACACAGCCTTAATTAAGGATGAAGCTGCATCATTTCGCACCCAAAAAATCGGTTGGGAGTTGGGACCATTGCTGTCATGGTCCAATTAAGGGACCATTACCGCCTATTAAAAGCTTTGCCCCCACTTAAGTAAAAAAAAAAAAAATCACACGCACGCGGTGCCCGGCCTATAAGTAATTCGGTTTTCTTCATGATCTATTTGTTGTACTCTTTTTTATTATTAATAGGATTTTTTTTTTCATCTGTATCTTTAAACATAAATTAAAAATATAATAAATATATATTTTTATCATAAATTTATATT